TACCAAACTCTATCTAATACCAAACTCTATCTAATACCAAACTCTATCTAATACCAAACACTATCTTATACCAAACACTATCTAATACCATGCTCTATCTGATACCAAACTCTATCTAATACCATATTCTATCTAATACCAAATTCTATCTAATACCAAACTCTCTCTAATACCAAACTCTATCTATTACCAAACTCTATCTTATACCAAACTCTATCTAATACCAAACTCTATCTAATACCAAACTCTGTCTAATACCAAACTCTAAAGGTACAATCACCGTTGTGGTGTTACGTTCTGTTTTCACTCGTCAGGGCCCGTATTCATGAAACCGTTCTCGTGCTCAAGCATGGAATCTGTGATCAAACCTTCTTTATTGTAACTGGTTTAAAATCGTGTCACATGGTTAAAAGGCCAAGTTTAAACACCGTATATGGTATTCGGCCCAAAGTCTCTCCAAATTATTTCACATTGACAAAATGTTATTTTTATTAAGTAAACGGGATAAGAAATTCGCCTTGAGCACAAAATCTAGTTTGAGCATGAGAGCGGTTTCATGTATATGAGCCATGATCTTGTGTTTAATAGCAAAACGTTGAGTTTACAATTTCATTCAAATTTTTGTCCCATTTTATTTCAAAAATACCTAGAATCCCTCGAATTTTTCAAACTTTCGGACCATAACGATTCTGTTCTCGTTACAAGATATAATCCATGAAATAAACGTATTTTTCTACAAACGTTTTATTTAACAACCGTACCATCCCACATCACCTCTAAGACAGCAAGCAAATATCTACAAGTCTCGTGTAGTATGAAAGAAACATCTCGGTATTATTTACATATAACTATACACATTTTATATAGCTTATAGGCGGATTGGTCGAGTGGTTAACACTTCGGCCTTCCACGCAGACGGCCGGGGTTCGATCCTCGAAGTCGTCGTACGCATGGAATATCAGAGAAAGTCTTTTTCTCCTGCCCACACAACTCCAACAACCCAGGTTGAGTATACAATGGTCTGTGGTGGATGTTGCGGTATCTGTTCTGTAGCATTCAAGTGAGGTGGCACTATAAAAAAGATGCCATTGGAAGCACGGTCCCACTACAAAACAGAACACAATACATCTCCAGCACACACGCAGGCATACACACACATAGGGAGATATTAGCCAGGTGGCATAGGACTAGTAGTTAGCGCCTGATAAGGCAGCTCCTGCGAATTCCTCAAAATTGAATTAATTAATGTATATGCTAATTGTATTAATTGTATATCTATGTACTGTAAAGCGCTTTAGAGTGGCTTATGTTAGCTAGATAGGGCGCTATATCAAATGTTGTATATTATTATTATTATTATTATTATTATAGGACATGATTTCACCGGCATGTGAATATTTTACAAATAACGTTGTAAGTGTTTCTCCTAGCAGATTTACATAGTTCTCCGACAGCAAAACACAAATCATATATCTGGATAATATAATATCATCTTGAAAAGGTCTTCAGCAAGTTCTGTAGTTTAACTTAAAGCGTAAACTAAACCAAAACCTACCACCTCGTCACAGTCTAAAATGAAGTGTTGTTCCTCAAACATTTGGCGAGTAGAGATGGGCTAGAGATAAATCCGGAGTTGGAGAGAGTGATTCAGGAGTCGAAAACTCCCGCCACCACAACAGAAATGACTATCGGCAAACATCGGACGACATCGGGAAATTTCGTAATCTGGGAATTCCCCTAATCTCGACGTTATTTCGACATGAGTTACCGCCCGTTGAGGAAACGAATGTAAACAAATGGCGGCTGTTCGTGATTTGAGCGGCCGCTTCAAGAGGCTCGCGTCAAAAATACGCCCTGTCAAGAAATGGCAAGTACTTATAGATCATGATTATAGCGGTGGACATTTCTGCAAAGGAGAGGGAAGTTGTGAAAATGACGACTGTCATTTGTTTAACAATATAAAGCTAGGTAAGCATCCAGAACTTTCTGGGTGGAAAGATGGCCGGAGGATTGTTGAATTTGACGTTTTACTGTCCAATTTAAGTTCATGTAAATCGTGCAGATTAGGGCCAATTCCTTTAACATCTCTAAATATTGTTGGAGAATTGAGGAAAGGATTGAGTGGATACTTGTATGTTAAGTGCCAAAATCCAGATTGCGGTGCGGTAAACAAAGCCCCTTACGGTAAAACGCACCACATCAAGTCCACACAAAGCTTAAGCGTGGGACATGTTTGTAAGTATATTTTACACTATTTGCAATGATTGATGATTTATAAGTTTCATCACGGAATTAGATTAATTTGATTGTACATACTAATGTAACATTTAATTGATACATGTGAAAAAATAAGTTTGCAGTTTACTGAAATTGTATATGACTCTTATTGTTTTCTTAATACATGTACAAGAAATGTTAGTAAAGGTAATACATTCAATGAACTTGCCTGATGTGTATCATTTCATATGCAGATTTGTACATGTGTTAATATTTACGTTTTGATAATATTATAAATTAATAATTTTCTGTAGCCTATCTGTAACGCAATCCTGTTATATTTAATTTCCAGAGATATTGCAAAGCAGGAATCTCTGGAAGCTCAGAAAAGCATGGGTGAGAGTATTTGTGTTCTTGGTGTAACTCCATTGCCAGATGCATCACCATCGGTACGGTACTTATAATTTCTCATGTAGGCTCCATTTGAAATAATTAAGCATTGACCTGTGCTATATATAACAGTTTGATAATATTTAAACATTTAGTTACACCATCCTAACCGTATTATTTATGCTCGTGTTAATTGCTCCATGTGAAATATTTAAGCATTGACCTGTGTTGATATGGCATTAATGATCGATATAAATGACATAACTTTGCAGGCAAACACCATAATGCAGGCTATCATATGTGGCATTTAGTTCAGATAAATGTATGCATCGTGTGTGATAGTTCAATGAATAGAACAGCCACTTCCATGTTCAATGAATAGAACAGCCACTTCCATGGAAAAGTCTGCAGTGTTCAATGGTACAATTATGACGTCATGATAATAATGATGACGTCAGCATGTTGGCCATGACATTTACAGTCGATTGAATGTCATCTCTGGTCCAGTATCAAGATCAAGGTGTGCGTCATGCAATGGTTTAAATAATATTATGTGATCATTATTATGTATTTTGACTCAGTTTGTCTAGGCTGGGAATTGCAGGACCCAGCTGATGATGTGCATGTCCACGGAATCTAGGTTTTGTGGTTTGTATGGTTAAATCTGAAAACAACATTTTTAGGTCACCTGAGACAAAGTTTCAAGTGACCTATTGCGATCGCCTTTTGTCCGTCGTCGTGCGTCCGTAAACAATTTACATTTTCGACTTCTTCTCCAAAACCCCTGAACCAATTTCAATGAAATTATGCAGAAACCTTCCATGGCCAAAGGTCAACAAAAATAATGGCTGATTTGGTCCCCAGCCCCCAGGGGCCT